CCTCGCTCAACTCCAGTACTGATAGCAATATTCCGAAATTTTCCAACAGTCATTGCATATGATATCGCCTCAGAATACTTTTGTTTCGCACTGAAGTACTGTAAAAAATTTCTTGAGTCCATAGAAGTCCCATATGCGTATATTTCGATGCTCTTCAAATGACCTTCTGCCTACTTCCTGCTTCTCAGGTAACATTTTCAGGTACTACTTGGTTCACAATTGATCTACGAGATGCCTTGCGCAGCTAGTCCTACTATGGTATCTTAGCGGATTATAATTGCTACCTGGAACAATGAGATGCAGAAAATTGTGCCCAATATCACCAAGCGCACATCGACTTTAGGAATAACCCGTCTACGATAATACTGGTAGTAATTGTAGAATCTGAACAAGGAGAGTACAAATCTGTTAACATCACTGGAAAAATGCACAAACCTTTCTTCAGGATGATCCAGGTAGTAGTCGTAATCTGTACGAGTCTGTTCATCCTTTAAGGTTTCATAAGCGGTAGCAATGACACGAAAACGAGCTTCCGCTTCAGCTTTAGCAGCCTAGATGGATAATACAAGCGATATCAGAGGTAGAGAAGAAGAACGCTCACCCTGTCTTTTACCCTGTCAGGGTGGTATTTCTTTGCAAGGCTTCTATAGATCTTTGATAGCTTGGATCTGTCAAATTCATCCCTGTTTATTTCCAATACTGTAATGTATTACGTTTAAGCGGATAAGACACCAAATGATGCTTCCAAATTGTGCAAAAAGCGACTCTTCTTTGAGCGGATCATGTAAAATGATAACATTTCCAGGAAAAACCAATGAATTGAAAGCTGTTGTGCGGTTACAAAGCTTTACACTTCATAATCCGACAGCTGAGAGAACATATACAGGCTATTCGTAACATGCAAAGACTGCGGACGTATCGGCGTCTCTCTGATCTAGCGCACCTTCATTTCTCATACCATCTGCTGTCTCTCCTATGCACATACTATCTTGGTCGGACGCAACGGCGCGCAGTCTTTGCGTATCATGAATCGACGGTACCATAAAATAAGGCCTTGGCCACGCTTTGCACGAAAGCCAAAAAGCGCCCAAAACTCTAATTTGTCCTCACTTTCTCATGTGAGGAGAGGTGAGAGAAAGTGAAGAGAGGTTCAGGAAATTTGGACCCTTTCGGGCGCTTTGCGGCGCTTTTGAGCGAATACTGTGGCCGTATTCATGAACGTTACCCAGTGGGTAAGTGA